CTCCATTGAGCTCATTTAAACAATTGGATCTGAGTTTACCGTGACGTATGTATTGTGCCCGAGTGAGTCGCTGGCATTTAGCAGTTAGCCTTGCGCTTTATTTTCTTGATATTTGGAGCCAAACTAGAATGGATTACTTTACTACTGCATTCGCCGCCATTGACAAACTACAACCAGCAAATTCGGTGCAAATTCTTGACGATATCGACGCCTACCTACAACACCCGCCTTCCCCGCTCGCTGAATGCTCGGATGGGATTCAGCCGAGGTAACTGCAGACACTAGGATCAGACCCAGACGTACATGTTGGGAAATAAAAGATGACCGGAGTTTACGGTTAGTGATAGCAGTAAAAATAATAAAACAGGGAAAAACAGCAGACAATCCAGATAAAACTGATCTGATTTACATTCTTTAAAACAACAAAACCAGTCAAATCAAATGAATAAAATCAATGAAATGTATGTATAAAACCACAGTAAAACAGAAAACAAAAAGCAATAATGTTTTCATACACATGTTTTGTATAATGCACAATTTTTTATTAGTATTTCCTATCTGATATTCTGTCCCCAGTGTGATCCAGCTCCAGCACCAAACCGCAGATGTTGGTCCTATTTACCAAAAGTGAGTGTGAATTTTAGCTGTTCCAAACGGCCATTTTTCAGCCAAACTTTAAAACAGCACTCTTTGGAAAGCGGAGCCAAAAACACTCGCTCAAAACCACTAAAATTTGCCTCATTTGAAAACAAAACAGCTCCTCTTCTGTTCTTTGAAGTTTCACTGTCTCCACATAATGAGCCGTAGATTGGCAAAACTTTGATGAATTATAAATTAAATCCATAATCATCTATTTTCAAATTTGGGCATTTCATGAATAATCCAGGAATATTTAATAACATGTGTAAATATGCATTAGTTAAGCCCTCCCCCATCCCAGCATTATCCACGTACAGCACATTGCAGCAGTTTGGAAGGGCAGTAGCGGAACCATATTTGTTTAATGGGAAGTTTATTTAAATAGCACAGTTCATACACTAGGCAACTCAAAGTGCTGAACTAAATGCTGTTAATTAAAGGTATATAGGAGGATTTTCCAAAATTTTAGGAAAGAACCGCCCTGTCCGCTGTTTGAACAAAACTCTCCGGACTTATTTGATGAGCACGTATCACCAGAATGATTGACAATTGGGAGGACCAATAGTCTTGATGATCCACTCGGAAGTATATAATCCTCATATATACCTTTAAGAAACCAATTTCTAAATATTTGCTCCTTTGCGTTAACATTATTTCAGATTTATGTATGGCTTTGTCTCGTTTTAAGTCTTCAATGTAGTTTTGTAAAGTCCTAAATAACGGCAGCAGTTTTCTCAGAAGACGTTATAAAGTTGTCGATTCGTCAGCAACAGATCAGAGAAACAGTTCAAACACATGAATGTCCATAAATGTCCTTAAATGTCCTTTAGTGTCCAGGATCGTCACTGTCCTTAGACCCTCCTGCATCAACAAAAAAATAAAATAAACAAACCGTAAACCAGTCGAAAAAAGTTTGAGGTGGTGGTTAGTGCTAATGCTTCACGGCAAGGAGGTCCAGGGTTCGATTCTTCCTCCAGGCCTTTCTGTGTGGACTTTCCATGTTCTCCCTGTGTAGGTTTCGTCAGGGTTTTCCTCCGGGAGGTTTTGGGATTGTTTTGTTTCTGATGCACCAGAGTGTTTGGCCTTTTTGTTTCTGTCATCACTGTGTGTGGAAAGAATGGTAAATGATTGATATACCCAAACGTGTAAAGCGCTTTGTGTGACCTCGGCCTGTAAAATGCGCTATATAAGATAAGATTATTTACATTCTATCAATAGTGTTGTCATTTTGAATGTGTCGGAGCATTCAATATTGGACCAAAAGCCTTTATTTTTTGTATTGTTGAGAATTATATCACTGAGAATTAAATTAGGGTCGAATCCTATCAAATAGAAAGTCCCCTGTATATATTGTATTTTGTCATGTGTATAGATATGCGTATAAGATTCTCAAACGTCTATAACCTCCTATAGTATGTATAAAAATGCCCTTCGGTCTTAACTACTGACGCCTTGTAATTGTTTTTGAAAAGTGTGTTCTACAATGTCCTACTGTTTTTGTTTACTGTAGAGCTGTGTGAGTGTCTGTTGTTTTTTGATTCATCCTGTATTTTTTATTTTTATTTTACTTTATCATTATTATTTGGTTCTGAGCCTGTACTGCTGTTTTCTGTCTTGTGTTTTTGCTTCTTGTATTTCTTTTGAGGACCCTCTTGTAAACGAGATGATGCATCTCAATGGGTTTTTCCTCTCAAATGAGTAAATAAATAAATAAATTATAATTTTTATAGTTACATTATTGAATTCTAGTATTGCAATACTTATGTTACAATCTCACACACAGACAGGATTCTCCGCTCTTCATCTATTGTTGTCTTCGATGCACATTTCAGTCTTGTTAAAACAAAGCATTTGTTCTCTACCACTTTTTTAACAAACGTAATGAAAACACAATTTGATTCACTTTTACCAGGGCTGGGGTTATGCTCCACGAACAGAAGACGACTGTTTATGTCTTGTTACGCACAAAGATGTTATATCATCTGAAGAGGTTGTAGCTGCTTAAACCTGTCCCCACATGGACTAGAGGCCACCAGTGGTACTGCAGCCTAAATTCACTCAGGCTGTGAGGAGATTTTTCGCATTGAACTCAATGTTAACAAAAACAGCCCGTCCTCAGTTGAGAGAGAACCTACAGCTTTCACAAAGGACAAGGGGGGATTTTAGTGTCTCTTCCTTTCCTTTTGAAATTCATCGGTTTTCTACAAATCCACACACCTCGCTCTTGTGCTACAGGTTGAACATTTGCCGAAAGTTCTTGCCAAGCGATGTATGGATGGACACAAACTTTTGGAAGGGAAATTGAAGGAACTTGTGTCTCATGGTTGAACTCTCTAACTACCATGGACTGGTCTATGGTACACAGGGGAACCAGTAAGGGCTCAATTGGATTAAAAGTTTAATTTTTCTTAACCTAAGTCAGCAGTGCTACTCCTATTCAACCCAAATAATGGCAAATACATTAAATCTGAATCTCGACCGTCTCTAACTCTGCTCTAATCAGTGCTGTTTTTGATGGGAATAAAGGTGCCATAAGAATTCATATAGGATAATTCTGTTTCTGGGTACGCCACCACCGGCAAGGAGTCAGATACAAGCCTGTCAGTGCACATGCTCATGGACCTTTTTGAGCCGGGACCTGCCCCTACTGGTTGAACCACTGCGCACCTACTGTACAAGACCGGGAGAACCAGAGCTATTGCCGAAATGCGTCACTTTTGCTAATGTTTGGGACGTGCATGCACCAATGAGCACAGGCCCTTGATTGGAATAGACATCTTGGAGCTTTGTTACACTGCACAACTCAGGATAAGCGGAGAGTGGTCTTTGATGCTCACGTTTATCTTTTTATTGAACGTATGCATGGCAAACTAATGTTCATTTCTTTCAGGATTATGAAGAATATCTATGTGAGCTCCTTTCTGTGGATTTCTGTAAGGCAACATCGCTTCCCACACAAATGTTTCTACATTTGTCTTACATAGTTTTCTTTTGTTTATTTCTGCTATTGAAAGTAATACAGTCTATTTCTTATAAAGTTTCAGGGCTCCATCTTTTTTTTGTTTTTCAAGTCAAATTTTGACTTGAACTTGTAATTAGTAATGTGTTGGCCAAAGTATCTGACCAAACACTGCATTGTACAGGGACGTTTCTGCCTTTAAGGGGGGATATATTTCAAAACATTTTTTTGAGAGTCAATCATTGTGCAAAACCTTTTAGAATCTTACAGTAAATTCTCCTGCATTTCCCGTGGAAAGCCTCAAATTCATGAGAAAAAGTAACAAAACAAGATGTCACACAGTGGGGACATATCAGACGGTTGAATTAATCAAATGGCATTCTGTTGTTTATTACAGATGTGTGTAATTATATAATAGTATTTTTATAAAATTATAAAAAAAATTCCATTACTGGAGTTATTATTGAACCACCAGCCAAATTTCACCTGCATTATGTTGTTAATTTTACCTTACCCTTTTAATTGGCCATGCACATCTGCTCAAGCCACTAACTGAACACTTACACACGCACGCACGCACACATATACACACACACATAGATATAAACACACTCGCACGCACGCATAGACACAAACACGCACACACTAGACAGGGGAGTGCCTCTTACGCACAGCCATCGTCATTCCCCTTTGCCTCTTTCCCGGGAATAATCGTCTCCAAATACCCTTTTCCACTCTCTCACGCACGCACGCACGCACACACACGCACACACACATCCTCCCTCAGACACACATAAGTACACTCATGTACACGTCCTCCCGCAGACGCACACACACAAACACATCAACACACACACTCACACGCGCGCACTCGCCTCATAGTGGAACGCGATAGGAGGAGACCCGCTGCCCATGTGACACGTGCGCGCAGACAAAGGTGGATGCGCTGTCTGAGCCTCTGTCACATACGGCGTGCTCGGATCGCGTGGATGGAAGACGCTCCGTGCGCTCGTGGATTTTTTTCTTTCCTTTTTTTCCACCCCACGCTTTGATGGTGCGTGCGTAATGATCACGCGTGGGGCCAAACCATTCCCGACACCAGACTTGGATGAGTGTAGGAGCCGACCGGTGAATGAAGAGAACAGTGGAGTTTGATCCGGAGATTTTTTGTTGTTTGTTGCTCTCATCTCAACTGTTGCTGCTACTGCTGCTGATAATCATTTGGTGATACGTGCGTAAAGGACGCGACAATGAAGAACGAGATTTGGATAAGCGTTTTTCTACCCTGATACTACCGCGCGTGCATACAGCGATTCCTCTCTGAACAATACAAGGACGCACTTTTGTTTCTTTTATTTGTTTCCCCCCGTGACAGCAGTGACCTTCCACTTGTTCCAACGCCATGCTCATGATGATGGAAAGTGGAGCCATGGGCGCACGCTCGGAATTCGACTCTCCTCTTTCGCACTGGTCTCTGATGGATGACCCTAACCGCGCGCTGGGTCTCGCCTCGGTCAAACTAGAACCCGGCTTGGACTCGCACCCGCACCAGCACCACCACCAACACCGCTACGACGCATGCAGGAAAGGAGGCGAGCCCGCAGACATCAAGCCGCCCATAGTGGCTTCTGCGCCCGCGGCCGTCTCCCCGGTGATGGTGGACGCCGTGGGGCAGATGCGCAAAGCCAAGTCGTCCCGTCGCAACGCGTGGGGGAACCTGTCGTACGCGGACCTCATAACCAGAGCCATAGAGAGCACGCCCGACAAGAGGCTGACGCTGTCCCAGATCTATGACTGGATGGTGCGTTTTGTGCCGTATTTCAAGGATAAAGGGGACAGCAACAGTTCCGCTGGCTGGAAGGTGAGTGCGTGTGGAGAGAGCGTGATCACTGCGCGTGCACGAGAGACGCACGCGGGGTGAATCGCAGAAGTAACTAAATACATGTACAGACAATACACTTATATGTTATAACCCCTTTTGCGTAACTGCATTCAGAAGGCACTTTTTTGGCAAATCTGTATGTTCAATAGAATACATGGTTTAGTTGTTTTTCTGTGTATTTAGATATATTACTATAGTACTTGATTACTCCATCGTATTTACAAATACAGAATATACGTATACATATTTGTGATTTGCTGGTGGTGGTATGGTGGGATTTTTCATACACAATTGGTTTCTAACTGCATCGAAATGAGTGACTACCAAAAAAACCCAAAGTTATATGGTGAATACTTAGTTATTATTAGTTTCAGAAAGATTTATATTTAGAAATTGTGTGTTTTATTGTATAGTATAGACCCACTTTTATTCCCTGTCTTTTAAAACCACTTGAGTATGGTTTCCTTTCTTTTTTTCTCGATAGCTATTTATTTATTGATTGATTTATTCATGGATACTTTTATTTGTTTTTGTTGTTGTTGTTTTTTATGTGGTTTGTATATGGTATTTGGCAGACCAGTGAATCTGCATGGGGATTAGTATGAAAACCACAAAATAAAGACGTAAGTTGCAAACTTGTTCTCACAATTCTCAAATTAAACAGTGAGTGTATAATACCACTTTTTCAGACAAATCAAAATACTGATCAGGAACTGTCAGATGTAGTCTTGTTAATGCGATTATTTTTAGTATCTCAATAGAGTTTGGATTCTATAGTTTTAGAATAGATTGACAAGATGTTTTTGATGACATTGGAAGACATCACTGAGTGTAGGGGTATGCTTGTGTGAGTTTTATCCTTGAGCAAAATAGTGATATTTATAAGTTTTTGTCCGAATCCATCTCTTTTTTTACTATCTTATAATATGCAAATCAATGTGAATGTTGTCAAATATTCAGAATACGGTGCTGTGTTTGAATCATGTGGCAGAATTATATAAGAATGGACATTTTAATGCATTTATTCAGTATTTTTATATGTCTATAAACTCTGGTCACACTTTGATTGAATAGATTTATATTTATTATCTGAATTTATACATAGAACAGTATTTTTAGGAGGCATTTATGGACATTTTCTGGACAGTTGTCATCCCACTCCCTATGGACCAATCTCTGCTTTGTATTTGTTATTATTACATGCCTGTGTTCGAACTGTTTGATTCTCTGATCTCTTGTTGAGCAATCGACAACTTTGTAAAGTCCTCTGAGACCACTGCAGTTGTGATTCAGGGCTGCACAAAAACACATTCAATTGAATGACACTATTTTGATATTAGACCATTGCTTAAACAGTGGTGCATCCTCAGCTCGCTCTGTTTCAAAGGGAGTCCAACACGTTCCAAACTAAAGTGGATTTTGTTGAAGTTAAAAATGAAATGACTTATGAGCTGTTTTGTCAAGACTTGGACAAATTTTGGCGTTTTCGCTGCAAACAAGAACAACTATGAACCCAAAATTAGAACAAAGGAAAATGTATGTTGTTCTGCTGGCTCTTATGTGACTCAGTCCTACTCATATATGAACAAAATTTAGTATATCTTGAGTAATTTTGACGCAAACTAGACTTTTTATGTCGAATAATATGCAGTCGACTTCTTTTTGCTTCTAACTGGGTTCCAAAGACCTTTTACTTTGCAAGTTGTGCTTTTGATTTTCTCGTTTCATCGTATCTTGTCTTTTTGTGTGAAATATTAGTGGTGGCTGTTCATGTGTTTTCATTCGATTTGGTTTTGAGATTCCAGACCGTTGGAATAAGGTTCAGACCAAGAAACTTTGAGAAATCTTCCAACACGCTCCAAGTTTTATTTTTGATAAGATTTGAAAGAGCAGCATATGTTGTTGTGAGAGATTTCTCGTCTCAATTTCATGTTATTTTTTCAGAATCGTGCGATCGATGCCTGAATGGGATCGAAATCAATACATTACATCAAAAAGCGCATGTTTGTTCCTTCATATCCGTTTAAAGCTGGAGTACCCAACTTTTATTTCTCTCTTTTCTCTTATTTAACACATGTTGTTTGTCAGAAAAAGTCTTGTGAAAGTAGAAAAAAAACAAAAAACTTACTGTCTCCATCTTACTAGAACACTTATCTTTTGCACACTTGAAAGAGCTGAGATTTGATTGACTGAGTGAAAGTGCTCCTCTCTTTATTTTTGACATTTTTCTAGAATGATTACCTTTTTTATTCATATGTTTTATTGAACACTACATACAGAGACAAACAAAGTGAAAACATTTAGACACAGATTCTATTGTCCATAACTTGAGCATCCAGATCAGCACCTGACTGGACCCACAACTCACAGTTTATTTGATGATTTATGATCACCTTTTTATATTGATCCTTTGTTTAAAGGCACACCGTGTAACTCTTGGCCACTAGGGGCGCTAGACCTGCAACTTTCACGTTTAGCGCCCCTAGTGGCCACAAGCAACTCAGCACTGTCGCAAAAGTCAACAGTCAGCCGGTGTCTTTTGAGTGTGTATTCAGACAGCATGCACTGGTGTGTGTGTTCAAACTGTAGAGACATGCCTACAGATATTGAGAGACTCTGCTGTGGTCAGCCTCCAGACCGCTGCATTAGTAATCTACCACACATGGACTTCTATATCCTGGATGAGGGAGTTCTGCGTCTAGCTCGTGCTGCGTGGAATGACATCTTTGCAGTCGATGACATCCAGGAACCAGGTGAAGAGCAGCGCTCATACAGACATGCAGCTTACAGCACGATCCCTTTCGCGTTTCCTCTTTTTAGCCTCCTCCGAAGGTTTAAAATTTTTCCTTGCCTCAGCCATGACCAGGAGTCGAGCAGGTGAAAAATGAGTAGCAAAAGCCTTAGCTCCATGAGTATATCAGCGCCTGTAGCCGTAAAGCAAGTCTTTCTTCCAAGTCACGTGACCTGGTGGGAGACGGTCCGTCTGCTCGAAACTTACATGGGCGGTATTTCAAGAGGGCAGCCCCGCTCGGAGCATTGCAAGTGTCAAGCGCTGTATATTGGCCCAAGTATTCATATAAAATAACTCATATGTGTCAACTCTTTAGGTCACAAAGTCCGCGGTGTGCCTTTAAAGCTAGGGTACCTGGCTCCCCCCTCCCCCCTTAAATATCATGTTATTTTCCCCAACAGAAAAGCAACATCAGAACTCAACATGCTGTGTTTCACCACTTGTAAAAAAAGAGCCTTTTGAGTCACTATTTGCCACTTTGGGTTGAGATTGAGGGTGGTCCTCTGTTGTTCAGTAGTAGTAGTAGTAGTAGTAGCAGCAGTAGTAGTTTATTTGAGCAGTTTACAATGTATTTCTAAGCTATCTATGTATCTATCTATCTGTAAGTAGTAAGTCATTCGTATTTTTTATTTATATAGCGCATTTTTACAGAACAAGGTCACCCAAAGCGCTTAACAATGTTCAGAGTTCAGATATTTTCCCTTTCTCTCCACACGGTGATGACGGAAGCGAGAGGCCGAACACACTCCGACCAAACACCATCCATTCACTCACTCATTTCATTCAGACTTATTGTAGATGTTTTTAGTGGTAGGGGAAACCGGAGCACCCAGAGGAAACCTACGCAGGCAGGGGTAGAACATGTAAACTCCACTCAGAAAGGTCCTTTTTCGACCGGGATTTGAACCCAGGACTTTCTTGCTGCCACCTTTTCGCCCATCTATCTATCTATCTATCTATCTATCTATCTATCTATCTATCTATCTATCTATCTATCTATCTATCTATCTATCTATCTATCTATCTATCTATCTATCTATCTATCTATCTATCTATCTATCTATCTATCTATCTATCTATCTATCTATCTATCTATCTATCTATCTATCTATCTATCTATCTATCTATCTATCTATCTATCTATCTATCTATCTATCTATCTATCTATCTATCTATCTATCTATCTATCTATCTATCTATCTATCTATCTATCTATCTATCTATCTATCTATCTATCTATCTATCTATGTATTTGTGGAGAGTTTTTACTGATAACGTGAACAGAGCTAAAAAAAAAATCTGGAAAACATATTGGATCATGATGGAAAACTCACTAAAACTGATTCTGCATAATGTCACCTTTGAAACTTCAAAATTGTCACTCGGTCGGGTTTAATTATATACGTCCGGCGAAGCTATCTCTAAACGCGTCTGATGACCTCAAATTATGACTGTGACAAAAATCTGGGAATCATTTTGAAAGTTGGAGATTTCCCATTGCCCCGGTTACGACGGGAACAGCCTGTACTTTAACGTGGACAAACTTTGATGCTCTCTGATAGAAGAAAGGAAAGCATTCAGAAAACATTACATATTCATCTCGCCGTGTCACACTATCCACTATATGTATGTCTGCTTTCATTGAGAGATGGAGTCGCATTGGAATAAGAATGGACTTATGTCACTGATATGGCTTCAATATTCCCTCAAAACTGAAACGTATTCTAAAGAATCGAGAAAATGGAGGCAGGAGGGTCTAAGGACAGTAATGATCCAGAACATTTAATAACATTTATGGACCTTAGTTATCCTGCTCCCTATGGACCAATGGCTACTATGTGTTTGTCATTACTGTTTCGAACTGTTTGATTCTCTGATCTGTTGTTGAGGAATGGGCAACTTCGAGACGACTGCTGTTGTGATTTAGGGCTGTACAAAAATATATAGAATAGAATTGAATTACACTACTTTTGTGTTGGGTGATTGATTAGACAGACAGTCAAGCATCCCCAGCTCTCTCTATGGATATACTCATGTAACTACAGAGTATTGCCCATAGTAAATATGTGAGTATATTGATTACACATATCAGTCCATCTTAATTTGTAGAGCACCTTTCCTACACGCGATAACACAAAGCGCTTCACATCCCACATCACACAAGGCACAAATCCTCACATAAAACATTTCATCACACCGAAATCACCATAAAAACACAATTAAAATCACACAGGTCATTAAATCCATT